TGGAACAGGGATAATCCTAGATTAAGTTAAAGAGAGTAGGAGAGGTGAAGAGGCAAAGATATGGTCAATTCTAGTGAATACCTTGTGTGGGTGAGAGTAGTGAGTATAGTCTTCCTTAAATGCAGGGCCGTCTTTAAGGCAGGGCAAAAGGGGCACTTGCCCGGGGCCCAATCATTGTTGTGGGGCCCTGCACCCCATAAACTAGAGCTGGTGAAAGTTTGAAACGTTTCTGTACCAGCCATCTAGTGTGCACTACCGCTTTCTGATGCTAGAGGGCAGCAGCCTCCTGTCCCACTCCCTATGTGCAGCAAAGATCTCTGCAGCCCGGGATGTCACCTCCCACTCAGCAGAGGAGGAAGATCGATTTTGCTCACACTGCTTCATGGTCCTGCCCTCCTCCCTCCATGGCTGCAGTCTCATCCTCCTCCTGTCCACGGTGAGTTCACATGACTGCTGGGTTGGGCTTCTATCTGGGTGGGGGGAGAAGGGGGATGGGGGTGGTCGGGTTAGGTGTGGCACTGCTGGGCTATGATGTAATGCTGTATAAAAATAATAATGACACCTGAGCATGTCCCCCTGGTGTCATTATTATTATTATTATGTCCCCCCATGTCATTATTATTATGTCCCCCCAGTGTCATTATTATTATACCTCCCCTCTCTGATCCTCCAATGCTGACTGGAGGGATGGATGGGGCGGACACAACCTCTAGAGAGGTAGAGTCAGGTGTCAATCAGGTGGTGGGGTGGATCTGGACAATATTTTTTGGATCCATCCCAGCTGCAGCGTGGCTCTGCTCTGTCAGCATATAGCGGGCAATATTGCAGGGGGGGGCGTGGTGGGGGGCCCAAGAAAATGTTTGCCCGGGATCCAATCAATATTAAAGACAGCCCTGCCTAAATGAGTTCACCTCCTGCCAACAATCAACATATGAATAGAGGGCAAGAAGATCACGGAAATCCCTCGCCAAGTGCAGGAAAGCTAAGGAGTCAGTAGATCCATCTAGATCTATCACTATGAGGGAATACGACAAGGATACGAATCACCACAGAGGATGACAGTACCCATACTGTGGGCCTGGACCATACTAAAAAGGTTAGTTACAAATTTTGTTTGGGTTGTATTCGGGGCATAATAGCAAACCAGGGTTACTTCTGTGTCATATAGATGATCCATTAGAAATAAATATTTACCATTAGGGCACGGATCTCAGAATGACAAACAAAATTGGTAGAACGACAAAAGCCAATGAGGACTCTGCAGCATTTGCAGGTGCCATTAGCCATAAAAACTTGTGAAAACTGGGAGTCAAAATATTTAGGGCAGGATGATTGAGAGAAATGGGTTTCTTCAAGACATATTAAGTCAGTATTAGAGGACCTAAAAAACAGAAGACCCTAGTATGCTTAGTGAGAATGTACAGATCTTGTACATTCAAAGATATTATTCTAAGAGGCATAAAAGAGTTGTTAAATAATGATAAGACGCAAACTCACCAATATGAGTCTTCATGGTAAGATAAAAAGGCTCTCATACCTACCTGCACAACCTGAAGGAAAAGTAGAAGAGAGGTAGGAGAAAAGGAGAGAGGCATGGAAAGAAATAGAGAATAGGAGAACGAATCAAGGAGCAAAAGGCATAAAATTGAACTGCAAGCAGCACCTGCAACAAGGTGGAGATGTTGGGCTGTGGGGCCTGAAGGCAAAGACAGTCCAAGGTGGGGATAGCGCAGTTACATGCTCCCCCAGGCAAATCCTAAATTGTAATAATACCAGAATATGTAGCATTGTAAATATTTTCTCAATTTTAATAAATATGATCTAGCAAAAAAAAGCTTTGCTCGGACACTTGTTCATGGGACATGCGTTTAGGTTCTTTGGGTTTTTTACTGAGGAATTAATAAAGTTTTGGCTTACTTGAGCAATACACTTCCTGTTTATTTACCTATTCCAATTATTTGTGTATTATATGTATTATGGTTTGGGAAGCTTGTTGGTAAGAGACCTTTCTAATTTAAGCTTCTTTTGTCACATATGCTCTTACAATATTGTTGCCCTTAGAAAGGCAAACAAACTGATAAGAGGCATGGAGGAGCTCAGCTATGAGGAAAGATTAACTGACCTGAATTTGTTCTCTCTGGAGAAGAGATGATTAAGGGGGGACATGATCACCATGTATAAATACATAAATGGTCAATATAGTGAGTTTGGTGCCAAATTATTCACTTTCAGGTCACTGCAAAGGACAAGGGGGAACTCTTTGCATCTGCAGGAAAAGAGGTTTAACCTTTGTATAAGGAAAGGCTTCTTTGTTAGAGGTGTGAAAATGTGTGAAAATGTGGAATAGACTCCCCCAGGAGATAGTTGTAGCTAGCTCAGTTAACTGTTTAAAAAAAAATCTGACTGTATTCCTAAATGCACAGAATATTACTGGATATCAACTTCTTTATAAGAATCATAAGCACCATAAATTGTTGATCCTGGGAATAAGGGGTTTAATCTGCTCTTGCTCTGACAACCTCCCATTGCTCATCCATACACTTGCAGGCAACATTAAGAAAATAGTATGAACTTGTCTTTCCTATAAAGAAAGAAAAAAACGAGGAAAAAAACGAGAAAAAAAACCCCCTCCCCTCCAGCAGTACAGGAGTAAACAATGTTCACATCTAGGATGGAATAAACAGAGTGTGATTAATACTGAGGAAAAACTAGTGAAACTATCTAATCTTTGAAAAGCCTGGTGCGCAGTCATGTTGGAACAGGAAGGGGCCATCCCCAAACTGTTCCCACAAAATTGGGAGCATGAAATTGTCCAAAATATATTGGTATGCTGATGCCTTAAGAGTTCCCTTCACTGGAACTAAGAGGCCAAGCCCAACCCCTGAAAAACAACCCCACACCAAAATCCCTGTCCACCAAACTTTACACTTGGCACAATGCAGTCAGTCAAGTACTGTTCTCCTGGCAACCGCCAAACGCAGACACTTCCATCGGATTGCCAGACAGAGAAGCGTGATTCATCACTCCAGAGAACACGACTCCACTTCTCTAGAGTCCATTGGCGGCTTGCTTTACACCACTGCATCCGATGACTCTTTGCATTGCACTTGGTGATGTAAGGCTTGGATGCAGCTGCTCGGCCATGGAAATCCATTCCATGAAGCTCTCTATGCACTGTTGTTGTGCCAATCTGAAGTTCACACGAAGTTTGGAGGTCTGCAGCTATTGACTTTGCGCAATGTGCGCTTCAGCATGCATTATACATGGCCTTCCACTTTGTGGCTGAGTTGCTGTTGTTCCCAGTTGCTTCCACTTTGTTATAATACCACTAACAGTTGACAGTGGAATATTTAGTAGCATACCTTATCATATATGCACTTTAGTGCTTATATGATAAGGTACCTAATATATTAATTAACCCTGGGCTAGTTTGTGTATTTCTGTACCAGTAGTTGTTTGTTTATATCTTTTATAAATAAGAACAGGAAAAGCCTGAGAGATAACCCTTGCATCGAAATTATGTTGTATGGATAAAAATAAAATAAAACATGAACGTCATATATTTGCATGCTCAAGTTACATCCATTAAGCCATGCCTATTTAGAACCATGCTCACTAAAAAGAAGCCAAACCCACTAGTATCACACTGTACAAAACGGTTTCTAAGGTATCCCATTTTCTCATCTCAGAATAGAAGGACATATGTATATGGGATTTGGAAGTGTCATGCTTTATTCAGGCATCATGAAGGATCAGCATTTACTTCCTGGACTGGGATACTTATTCACTAAACGAATTGAGGATCTTCACACAATTTGTGAATAAAAATAACCGTTTTGGTAGAAATAAAATTTGTGGGTAAAGTTCCTCTTTATGGATTTCTCTTCTAAGTACTTGTTAGTCTGTATAGATTTTCCAGTATTACTGCTAGCCAACAATTCCATACAATGCACAAAGTGGATCCTTTTTAGGCCAAGCTTTGCTCGGACACTTGTTCATGGGACATGCGTTTAGGTTCTTTGGGTTTTTTACTGAGGAATTAATAAAGTTTTGGCTTACTTGAGCAATACACTTCCTGTTTATTTACCTATTCCAATTATTTGTGTATTATATGTATTATGGTTTGGGAAGCTTGTTGGTAAGAGACCTTTCTGATTGAAGCTTCTTTTGTCACATATGCTCTTACAATATTGTTGCCCTTAGAAAGGCAAACAAACTGATAAGAGGCATGGAGGAGCTCAGCTATGAGGAAAGATTAACTGACCTGAATTTGTTCTCTCTGGAGAAGAGATGATTAAGGGGGGACATGATCACCATGTATAAATACATAAATGGTCAATATAGTGAGTTTGGTGCCAAATTATTCACTTTCAGGTCACTGCAAAGGACAAGGGGGAACTCTTTGCATCTGCAGGAAAAGAGGTTTAACCTTTGTATAAGGAAAGGCTTCTTTGTTAGAGGTGTGAAAATGTGTGAAAATGTGGAATAGACTCCACCAGGAGATAGTTGTAGCTAGCTCAGTTAACTGTTTAAAAAAAATCTGACTGTATTCCTAAATGCACAGAATATTACTGGATATCAACTTCTTTATAAGAATCATAAGCACCATAAATTGTTGATCCTGGGAATATCTGATTGCCTTATGGGGTCAGGAAGGACTTTTCTCCCCTTTTGGAGCAAATTGAACCATACTTTATGTGGGGTTTTTTACCTTCTGCTGGATCAACTGTGGGTAACTGTGGGCATGGCATTCTGTGGGCATGGCATTCTGTTTTAGTTTTTTTTCCCAATCTCTATAGGTTGAACTCGATGGACTTTTTAGAACCTAACTAACTATGTAACTATGCTTTCTACCTAGCTTGTTACACATGTATGAGCCATATAATCCAACATCTTATGTAGGTTAATAAACAGAAAAGCTAACAAAAAACGTTACATGCTTTACAGATGTCATTGTACAACAATTAATGCAGCGGGATTATTAATGAGAACATACATACCTGTGTTTTACCCCCTGTGCTTTCCTGGACAGCGGATCGTGATAGTGAGGTGCTTGCAGCAAATCCTTTGAAACAGCCACAAAATATATTGCTTAATCCAAATGCCACCAGTTCCTGCAAGATTATAAAATAGATTCAAACATATACATTACAATGAAGTATGAATTCTTATAAATATGAATCCAATAAGTAACATCATTCTAAACTGTTAATCTTAACTTGACTATGGATGATACAGAGAGTAACAGTTTAAACTAAAGCCAACAATTATAAAATATACATTTGGTTTATGTTTGTGTTTATTCCTAATTGCACTTTGCTAACTTTGCAATTAAAGTTAATAAATAATTTTAAATTTTAGCAATTAATATGTAGCATTTAGGGAACATGTTTAACAACTAAACGTATTGTGTTCATTTTTTTCTCCACTGTTTACTTTTTGACAGAAGTTTATAATTGCAGCAAGACTTGAAAAAAATTAAATAAAATAAAGTGGCTGCAGTGTTAAGTAACATATTCTGATGCTGTACATCTTCAATGAAAACACCAAGTTTAGACTTGTAGATATATTGTAAAATTACTTTGTAATGTTATCATCTATCTATATCTATCTATAACCCTTTAATTCAGTTTATTTAATTTTTCTATTTACAATAACAAGCGGATTTTGATGGCAATACACAGGTATAGGAAAGCCATGGTGCAACAAATCATTTCAACTCACAAGCCGCATCTGGGTATGAGATAAATAAAACTGAATATGTTGGCTGAAATAAGCTAATGATGTGCTATTGTAACTGTAAATAGACATACCTGATTACCATTGATTACATAGTCATGCTTGATTGAATAGACTTTGGCCACAGAAAAGGCTACAGCAAAGCCAACAATGGCAATGGAAAATCCATCCCCTATACAGGATTCAAAAACTGAAATGCTTGGAGCCATTGGAGGTTGGAATCTGTACACAGAAAAAATTGATAGTGAATATTGCTATCCTATGGTGTATAAATGTAGACAAATGTACACAAATGCCGTAAGGTAAACAAAGCTACGTTTCTCTTAAGCCACCTCACATTAATATTGCTGTGGAAACTCAAATGCTATAACGAGCAGAAAATAGAAATGGTGTCCTTTTTAGAGATTATTGGAACAATTCAGGGATCAATTGGGACAGACAGCTTGAACATTTAATAAGGGATACTGATTTTTATCTACATTGCTAGAGAATTGTCCAACACAAATAGTAGCTTAGCTGAATAGGAACACTTTGCTAGATTTGGCCATTTCTAATGAATCGGATACCACATCAAATGTGGCAGTGCTGGAACATTTAGGCAACTGCATTCCCAATACCGTAACCTTTGAGCTGGTATTAAAAATGGATTTAACAATAAGGGGCTTACAAACTATGGATGTAGACAATTTGAAACAAACCATAGAATGAGAATGCTTACAGACATCAAAAGTAAATGTGATTTAAAAACTACTTACTGTAATGTACTGTACTGTATAGACAATGCATTCTTCCCTATGAAAACATTTCTAGGAATAAAAGGAAACTGCAATAGCTTTATAAGGAAGTTTTCAAAAGGAGAATGCATAAGAGGGAAGCATTTGAATCCCTCGAGGCGAAGTTGGAAATGTGCTCAATTTAACAGTACTTTTCCACTAAAAATTTAAAACTTTAGTTTGGTATTCAACCCTGGGCCCAGTTCTATTCAGTTTGTTTACTTATGTTCTAGAGGATGAAATAGATAGGAATGTTGCAATTTTTGCTGGATACAGAATTTTAAAGCATTATTAAATCTCAGCAGGATTATGAAAATATTACAGAAGGATACAAAATAAGGAACCAGGTAGCAGCTAAACATTGCTTACTTTATAGTAAATCATATTAACACAACTGAGCTTCACAGAGCTGCAAATGGACTTGGGAATACTTGTTTAATTGCATGTCAAGACAAAACCCTTTTCTACTAGTTTTGCATACAGCGGGGAAGGATTAGAATGCTTTTGGGTTTAAACTACTATCTGGGTTCACAACGCAGGAAGTGAAGGAAAGGAAAACATACAGAAATAAAAATCTAGATATGTAAAACTAGAGGTGTGTTCAGTGCCTTAGCCAAGCGCTGAGTAGCTGTTCTGCAGCACTTCAGTTAGTTGCAGCAGTTTCACTGAACGCTTCAGCTGCAAAATTCTAAGCAAAATGGCGGAGGATAATATTTTTGACTGATAAATACCATTTCCTAACAGATATTTGGTGTGCTCGTCCACCAAAACATTACATTGTAGGTTCCCACAATTAATTGATTTCCTCCATCAGGGTTCAGGCACCTTTCTCCAGCACTGCCAAGTGTGCTCTCAGTTAAAATGGCAGCTCATGCTCTGTCCCCACCTTCTCCGTCACACTCAGTGCTCTGCATTCACAGTCACTTCCACTGAAAGTTAGCTGTGCTAAGCGCTGACTTGCAGCACCGCGTTCAGCGGCGGATTGCTAACTCAGCACTTGCAGTGGCTGAGCAAATCTGTGCTTTTTTTCAGGGCAAAAAAGTTCTGGTGCTCACGGCACCTTTTTGTCCACAAAAAGCATGCAGTGGCCATCTTTGCGGTGGGCAGGGATGCACTGCGCTGCCACCATTTTGGTTGTGGTAGCGGGAACGCACAGAGCATGTGCAAGATGGCAGCCGGCAATGAGGTTTATTGTCAGCGGCCATCATTTTGGTGGTAAACTGCCTTAGAAGACAAGCATCATCACCCTGTACGGGGTGATGATGCTTGTTTTCTGATGCCGTGTCTGTACACTTGCAGTACAGACACTTGGGCATTGTCTGTACTTCAAGTGTACGGACACGGCGACAGAGAAGTGTCATCACCCCACATGGAGTGATAACGCTTTTGGTGAGAGGGCGCCTTTTAAAAAAAATAATTAAATTATGTATCACAAAAAAATTAAACGGCTGGCGGTAGGTGGTGGTAATGCGTACCGGTGCGTACCGCCAGAAAAAAAAACCTTGTGTAAAATGTAGTAAGGGCGTGACACCAGTGATACAGTCCAGAAAAATATTTTTATAAATGATCAACAGTATGAAAAAGTAATGGTATTTCAGGAGTTCACACACTCCCCTTTTATCAGGGCTACAATACTAGAAATTGCCTTAATTCTTTGTGGCATAGATTCAAAAAGGTCCTGGAGACATTCCTTAGAGAGTTTGGTGCATATACATATATATATGCATATATATATATATATATATATTCCACTGGTAAAGGAAGAGTGTGTGAACCCCTGAAATGCATTGGCTTTATCATAATGTTGATTATTCAATACAATAGCTTTCTCTTATCACTATTGCTATGTTTTAAATATCTGGATCTTTCTCAAGACCCCTCCCCTGTTTGAGGGTGCTTTTGTCACATGGTAGCAGTCTCACCAAATCAATTCAGCTTAATAAATAGGGCTGCCACTCACAATTCAGAATATTAATAATTGGAGATCATGGGGCCTCTTATGCATGTACTCAGAAATAAAAAATGTACAAGGGTTCTAACTTTCCCATACTGTACTAAGAAAACACAATTTTATTTCTGCCTGTATTGTTATTGGTTTCGGCTTACTTCTTGTCTGGTAAAACATTGTCAGTAGGGCAAAAATGATCAAACTGAACCTCGGATATCATTAAAACTCAGACCGGGGCTATAACCCTTCCCTACACAATCAAAAACTAAGAAAAAACATGTTAGCTGGACATATACTTATGGTATGCTAAGTAGCACAACTTAATGACAAGTGACAATTGCAAAAGCTAGTTAAAAAACACACTATATAATAATATAGTATTGTCCCTGTCATAAAACATTAACAATAATAATAATAATAATAAATACACATTATTATCTAATACAAACTAAAACATATAAAGTTTAGCTTACCCTTTCTCTAGTTTCCCAACAATGTCTACACCATATTTTAATTGGAAATTAAATGCATATGAAACTCCCGTTGCTATGACAGTCTGCAAAGTTGATAAGACAGGCAAAAGACAAACGTTTACAAGATTTTGTAATGTTAACATTATCGAATTATATCATAAGGCGTCTCTCCTCAAGGCTTCAATCTCCTCATTATTATTAAGACCAACTGTTTTTAAATGCTTTACACATTGCATTCAACTTATTAGCACAATCTGGCTTTTTTACAGTAAGTAGGTAAAATAAAATTTCTGCACCCTACATTGGATTTGTTTTTCACTACTTCTACACCAGTTTCCAAAAAAGTGTGGTAACAATGAGCTGAGCATCTTCATGAATGAGCAAAGCCACAAAACTGTTATTTTTATTATAAAGAACATTTTGACAAATTCCAAAGTATTATTTAAGTATAACATGTCATGTGGATGCTTTCATCAGTCCAGCAAAAGAAGCAAGAATTCTTAAAGGGAATCTAAAGTATTAAGGGTCAGTTCACTGAAAAGTGATGTTTTAGGTAAAGATAAAGCCTGGCCTCTATGTTCTGTGTAATCCAATATACAGTATAGCTTTATATGCTTAAAGACAAGGAAAATCTATTTTAGGGTGCACATAGGCTGTCTTGAAACATCTATTGAAACAACTGGGATTAGGTTGTGTACTTCTTTCTGCAGGGGCAGTAAAAGGACTTCTAACAATAGAAGGTTTTGAAAGTTGTAGAAGGAAAAAAAAGAACAGGAGTATATATGCTACTAATATAGAGTACATTAGTCAAGTAAAAAAATATTGTGGCAGCTCCCAGTCTCATTGCGTGTCACTCAATTTGAGACATCTTCCTGTATAAAGCTAGCCCTTGTGGTATTGTTACTTACCATTATAACCTCAATTGGGATAGGTACAGGAATCTTTGACTTAAAACGATCATTAATTTCTTTCACTACAAACACTACAACCATGATGATCATAGCTGTAACAAGATCAGCAATGTTTGTTTTGGTAATCTGTGTAAAGATATCTTTCAGTGTCTGTAAAACAAAATCAGCAATGTCATAAATCTGCATTCCATTGTGTACATTACAGCAAATATCCATATGTTCAGATAAGTTCAAGATTAAAAATAAAAGAAGTAAGTAACTTAAAAAGCACACATATTTTCTGTTTATTTTTTCCATTTGATCTACAAAAACCGTGAGATATTAATATGTATTAAGTGGCCAGAAAAAAATGATAAAAAACTGTTTCCTCTTATAGAAAAATGTTTAAACTTAAACTTTCAATAGGAACGTCAACAAATTAATATATTTTCAAACAGTTATACAGTTTGTACAGAAAGTCCATTGTTTTTTCACCAGCTCCTATGTAACATACCGTATCTCCTTTTTGTGAGACTATATTCTGCAATGCAACATTTTGGGGTTGATTCACTAAAAGCAAATAGGCTGTTTACTTTGCAAGGGAACTTAAACTTTGCAGGGGAAGTTCCCCTTAGCTTAGTGATAGGGATGAAATTTCACATTGCAGAGAATACCCAATCACGTGCAAGAAAACAAAAAAACAAAATGCAAATTCCATTTCAAAATGAATAGCCTATATACCTTTGGTAAATCAGCCTCTTTATTATTCTGTGGTGTCTTAAACCTGTTCTCTAATATATATGTTTTCCCCTTACCCCTATGACATTTGGTTACCATGTCTTTATGTATTTGTAGATTTTCCCCTTAAACTGCTGTTTTCCATGTTGAAGCCAGTCAGATTAAGATAGGGACACCCCTGAATACAAACATACAGTACATACATTACACAAAACAAGTCTAAAGATAAAATCCACAACGCAATAAAATAATATCCAGTCTCGGCACTTGAATTTGTTAAGTTGTTTAAAAAATCATTAACAGTATTTGCATGTGGCACTGTTTAAAATCGTGATTATATTTTTTTGAATTACAGTGAGATAAATTCAGGTTTATAAACTGGCCTGGAGCTCTCCTTTATACACACTAAGACACTTAAAGGGTTATTCACTAAGCTGCTGGCTTGTACGGCTGATTTCAGCCGTACATCGGCTAAAATCAGCCGTACATCGACTGCACTTTGGTCAAGCGAATATGCTCTGCATGTTCGACTGAGCCGAAGTGCAGAAGGACTTTGACTCAGCCGATCAAACATTTGGATCAGCTGAGCCGAAGCCCTGGCAGCTCACTCACTGCCGTTCGCCCCTATTCTCATAGGGGCCAAATGGCAGTGGGTGTATAAGCGAATGCCACTGAGCGGCATTCGGCTCAGCTATTCTGCTGGGTACCTCTGTGGTACCCAGCAGAATAGAAAATCAGTGAAAATAGTTGATAGAAAAAGGTTGAAATGTAAAACAATGTAAATAAATAGTAAAATTTAAAAATAAATAAAGATAAAAAAATTAGGAACTAGCTAGCTCCACCCAACTGTTTCCTGTTGACCACCACCTGCTGGAGTCTTCTAGCAGGTCCTGGCCAATGAATAACAACTGGGCGGAGCCGGCCATGACAGTTCAGCGTCCCTAGGTCATTTGGGGATGCTGATCTGTCATTACAACTGGGCAGAGCCAGCCGTGAGATCACAGCTGGCTCCGGCCAGCTGTCATTTGCGGGGAGAAAGGCTGGCCCTACGCAGGCCATTCACCCAGCTTTGGCTGTCACTTCAGCTCAGTCGAGCCAAAGGATATGCCTTCAGCTTGGCTGAGCCGCTCGTCTGCCTTCGGCTGCTGTGCGTGCGATAGTGAATAGCCCGTACAGCAGCCCTTCGGTTCGACTGAACTGAAGGGCTCCGGCCGCTGAAGAGAGCTGAAGGATCAGCCGAAGCTATGGCTGGATCCTTCGGCTCCTTCGTGAATAACCCCCTTAGTGGATGATCTATAAATCATCTGGCTAACCATACGCAAAGCATTTACTGCCACTAGATAGAGCATGAATGGGGTTCGCCCAGCATATGGCTTGCTAAATGATTTATAAATCACCCCCTTGATTTGGTCAGTATCATCCTATGTTCCCCAGGATCTCTCAGCCAAGGGGTTCTCAATTTGCAAACAGCAGCTATGAGCTCTGTAGACTCTGTCATCTAGAAAGAAAGTGATGAGAAATCCAAAATTCTAGAGCTGTCTCCAGAACAAGAGGTGAGGGGCACTCTTCCAACAGGAATACACATTATCCAAAGACAACTGTTTAAGAGGGAAATTCCCCTTATTTTAGGAGACTTCCTCTCTGGGACAGGGTGAACACAAGGGAATGGAAATTTCCCCAGTGGTACACAGAAAGCAAAAAATAAACCTGCAGGAGTTATAACCCCTACCTACTCTTTATAAAACTAAAAAAAAAACCATGGGAAAGAGGAAGAGGAGAGGAGGAAATAAAGTTGTAGGTGACACTGAAGATGCACTGAGATAGGTAGAAGGTGAACCATGAGGGAACAGAGTCTTGGAGGCCAAGGAATTGGAGTTCATTGAGGAGCAGCGGGTTGTTAGCTGTGTCAAAGGCAGCAGAAAGGTCCAAAAGTATGAGTCTAGAGTAATGGCTATTGGTTTTAGGAGGAAGTAGTTAGTAAGCTTTTGAACTGAAGTTTCTGTGGAATGTTACAGACGTAGCACAAGGGAAATATTTATTTAAACACACCTAACCTATACTTCTCTAGCACACCTACAAGAAATGCATATTTTTAGTAACCTGAGGCTCAGCTGCATTTGTTTTGTGCATGCATGCATGTTGGTGTGTCATTAAAAATAAATGGCACTGCACCCCATAGCACTTAAAAAGTATGATGCTGATGTGTAAGAAAATGTGTAGGATTGTGCACTGCAACACACATGAATGGGGCCACAGTTTTTGATTACTGAAGTGAATGAACATGTGCACTAAGCTGGCTTTACAAAATTTGTGTATGGCCCAGAATTTGCTAACATGCAGCTAGAAATATGGTTGCTTGCCTAGATGCATTACAACATGTAAAAGTGTTTCTCAGTGTTTACTGTTATTGGTAGTTGTTAGTCAGACTTAAACATAAATAAATAGCAGGTAGCAAAACATTATAAATTGATAAATGTACTTACATAAAACAAGGACAAAGGTCCACTATATGGATCAACTTTTAACCCCAGCACAAACTTTAACTGTGATACTAAAACATGGATGGCAGCAGCTGTTGTAAAGCCACTTATCAGGGAGTCAGACAAATAGATGACAATAAATCCAACTTGCAGCAGTCCCAAAGCCAGCTAAGAAAAATAAATTGTTTGTTTATTATTTGTATTAATGCTGCAGTATTCACTATTAATCCAATAAGGCATATTCTAGCACTGACCTGGAAGATTCCTGCAAGCACTGTTACAGAAGCTGCCACAACAACTCTTTTTTCATTGATATCTGGGTCTGTTTGATCATCAGGAACTAATCGGAGTACAGCTGTTCCAACCATCAAACTCAAAACAGGAAAGGGACCTAAAAAACGTTTTAATTGGTGAGGACCTAAAATCCATGCCAGTGGTAACATAAACAAGGGGATGATGTTAATGAAATTTTGGCAACACTTTACCAATGTGCCTGTATGTTTCTAAAACAACTTGAATGCATATGGTGTTTAAATAGTAAGCTATCTAAAAAATATGTATTTTTGAATGAAAATTAGATTAAAACATAAGGGGTTATTCACAAAAGGGTGAAGAGTTTGGAGAAGGCAGGAGAAGTGAACAATCTAGGACAACATAGCTGAACTGGAAAGTGACCTGAATTGGAGAATTTTTCCAAATCGGCTATTTTGGCCTAGATTGTTCACTTCTCCTGTCTTCTCCAAACTCTTCACCCTTTTGTGAATTACCCCCATAGTTTTTTTGCGAGTGAGATCTAAAAGATATTATAGGTGTTTCCACTAGACTATACCCGAAATGTGTTTATCCTTTTTTTTTGTTTTTGTTAGAAAGTTATATTTGTTTGTGCTGTCATGCAGAAAATAATATAATAATAATATCTTCTAATATTGGCTCTTCTAATCTCCATACAACTGGAGGCATGGAAAGGGGTGCTTCACTGCCCTCTTACCTTTAAATAATAGTAACCTCTCTGCAAGTTTTATTTTGTCTAATTGCCGAGAACAAAGGAGTTCAGCTTCTACTTTTTCTTTCTTTTAAAAAACATCAATTTCTCTATATGTATTTATTAATCCTGCGCTGGATAAACAAAGCAGGTGTTTTATTCCCTAATAATTGTGCTTTAGTGAAAAATCTATATAGTTGAAGGCTGCGGCAATAAAGACACCTGGGTCAAATCATAAGACTATGTGGCGCTGCATAGTTGGAAACTCTTATCCATTTCTCTATGTTCTTATTCCTTTTCCCTTGCCTCTATTGCACTTCTTACCACTAACTCTTACACTGCTCATTTTTGTCAGCCAACGAGAGTAGATTATAGTAGAAGCAAGCATGGTGGAATGTATTCAGGTTTATTTATAAATTTTTTATGTATTATTGCAGTGGGGTTACCCCTGCACTGCAAGGGTTAACTGCGCATTTTGGTCTAGGAGCCGGAATACAGAGTATATACACTCACCTGATCCTCGGTCCTGTGGCGGTCAATGCTCACTACTCATCGTGCCGCGCGACCCCATTGGTTTCAATGGGGTGAAATCCGCGTGGCACCTAGGGTACAAAAAAAATTATACTTGCCCGATTATCTGAGCCAGCAGGCTCTTAGACCAGTCCCTGGAGTCTCTCTCTCCTTCCACTGCAGCGGTCTAAGGATCCTCAAGTCATCATGTCCAATACACTGTATAGTACATGAGGACACTGAGGAACATACCATCACTGCAAAGGAGCAGGAGACAGGCTGGAGGGAGCCAACTGGCTTGTAGGTTCGGGTGAGTATTCTATATAACAGTCATATGTAATATGGGTCTCTCCTTCTGCTCTCTCCGTTCTTTCTGCACTCTCTGTCTCTCACGCTTTCTGTCTCTCCTCTCTCTCTCTCTCCTGGTTGCCTCTCCTCTCTCTCTCTCTACTGGCAGCCTCTTCTCTCTGTCTTCTGGCCATGTATCCTCTCTCTCTCATGGCTGTCTCTTCTCTGTCTCCCCAGACTGTCTCTCGAATAAACAGAAACAGGAACCATACTGCAATACCACTTGAAGAAGATGGATGCTCGAAATGACTGTCTCTCCTGTCGCTCCCCTGGCTGTCTCTCCTCACTCTCTCCCCTGGCTGCCTCTCTTTGCTCTTACTCCTGGCTGTCTCTCCTTGCTCTCTCTCCTTGATGTCTCTCCTCGCTCTCTCTCCTGGCCGTCTCTCATCACTCTCTCCTGTATATTCTCCCCCAAAAATTGCCTGGGAGTGTTCAGGTTTTGCGTGAAGAAAAGGTGTCAATCCTACTTCCTAATCCTTTGACCAATAAACCGTTTCGCATAGTTCTTTCTACTCACCACACATGATTCCGCTGAACATCTTTCTAATCCCAAAAAGACTTCTTACTTTTAAACTTGATTGAAACTGCTTTGTAATACTATAAAGCAGTGTAGTTAAAAGTCATTGATTCTTTCCCCAACTCTCCTTTGTGGTTGTTTGCGAATTTTTCATGTAAAGGAAACTACTCACCAACTGATATATGCTTCGATGAACCAAAGAAAAAATAAATAATGACAGGAAAAAATGCTGCATACAATCCATAGCCAGGAGGCACATTTACTAAAAGGGCAAAGGCCAGACCTGAAAAATAAGAGAATATTCAAGTAAAAGGAATTTGTTTTTATAGCAATATGCATTTTATGTATGTTGTGCCTACTTAGAAACAGCCCAATCATTCTGTTTTTCTTTAATAATAAACAATAGAATGCATATGTGCTGGTAGATGGCCAGCCACTATAAACCTGGGGGGCAGTAGGAGTTGAATAACTCTTTCCAGCAGAACGCTTATCTTGCTTTTACAGTAGAAGGTAGAAACCATAGTGGAGTTTCGTTTTTTTCTTTTAGTCAGAGCTGTTACTATTTCTCTCCTAGAAAAACCTTAAACTGACATCTTTGAAATGATTATTTGTGCTTTTGACATCAGTTACACAACTTTGTAGGTGTTTCTTAGAGAGAGCATTATGGCTGCATTGCATTTTCATTGAAGGAGCGTTTGTTTGCATCCCAATACTGGCCATCGTTTATAAGAATTAAATAAGTTCAAAGTCAGTTGCCCCTTCCCCTGCTTGCTGTTACACATACAGGAAATTACACTGTTTGAACACAGAGGATACTTACATTGGCAGTCTTGTTTACTAAATGTATTTAAAGACAAACTCTGGGGAGATTATTTTTAACCTTTGCAGTGGGGCTACCCTATACAGTAAGGGTTAAATTAGTATTAAACTCTCAAACATTTTTTTCAATAATGAATACAGATCAAACAAATATGCATTGCCCAGCAAAGCGCTGCGTTATATTTTTGCCCAAACGCTTACAATCATCATGTTTCTGAACAGCTGCTTCCAAGTCTTCCAAGTCCAGTACAAGATCACAAAGAACAGTGCAGACTCCAGCAACTGTTCATCTACTTGCTTGGAGAAGGGAGGTGGGAGGAGAGGGGGCAAGGGAGGAGGAGTGTAGCTTGATTTGTTGTGCTTACTAGCACACACGAGGGTGACTGCATAGCACTATGTTTGAGAAATGAGTCATTCTAAAACAGGAAGTCAGGACCAGTGCTCAGAGGACCACCTGGTTCTGCAGGAAACTAAAACTTTTAAACATCAAAAAGCAGCATCCATTGCAAGTGATTTCATTAGCATATGAAATATCTAAAAATCCTTTTGACTTTAATATCCCTTTAAGTGCTCAGTTGTGTCTAGGGGTGAAAATAAAAAAGTTATACTTGCCCAATCCTTGAAGCCAGCTTACTCTTAGACCAGTCACTGGAGCCTCTCTCCCCCTCCACTCCAGCAGGGTAAGGTCCCATAAATCATCATGTTCTATACACAGTGTATAGGGCATGATAATGCTGAGAGACATTCCATCACCTCAGCATAGGACGAGAGGGACTGGAGAGAATGCAGTCACAGCCGGCTAGCTCAGAAGATCAGGTGAGTATAGCTTTGGTATATTCCTCTGAAGACCAAAACCAGCAGTTAACCCTTGCAGTGGGGAGTAGCCCCACTGCAAGGGTTAATAACAATTTTCCCTGCAGGTCTGCTTTAACTGCTTTTACTGAAATGCCCAGTAGGTATCCAGATTTTGTAGTTACAGGTCTATGTTTTGTAAAACAGGGGCAATTACCCCATTTGCTAACTGATTTTGGCTTGTTTTCAGCTTGCCAGCTCTTAGCAACTATGTTCAATAGACATGTGCACCGGCAAACAATTTGTTAAGTTTAGTTTCGTTTTGATTCGGATTTTGCGTTATTTTGTTTTTTGTGCTTCGGGTCCGAAAGTAAATTCGTTTTGGGATTCAGATTCGGACTAAATTCGTTAGCGGTAGTCTGTACGAAAGTTTGTTTCCGTTTTGTGTTTGTTTCGTTCGTTTCGTTGCAGCAAAGTGACATTAAACATTTTTTTTTTAAAGTGTCACTTTGCTGCAACTAAAATTCGTACAGACTACCGCTAATTAATTTTGTGTGAAATGTCGTTTCCAGAAATTTGGTTTAATTTTCATTCGTCATTTCTGTTATTCGGAAATTCAGATACATTCAAATCTCCGAATAACTAAAATTCGTCCAAAAAAATGTATTTTTCTGAAACGAATCGCACATGTCTACTGTTCAACTACAAGTAATTTTTCTACTATAGAGTTAGTAATAAAGATTGCATATTATGTCATATTATGGATGAATATCTGCATCCTGTTTTGGCAAGAGCACTGTTGGTATTATCCAAGCTTTTCCTACACATAACATTTAGATTTTGAGTTCAACAAGCTCACTTCAAATAAAGCTTTGGTTTAAATGATAAAAACAAATGGCTTACCTTGCAGGACAGCCACCAGGCCAGTGCTGATTCCAGAAACAATATCACCGAAGATCCATTCCCTTATTCGGTACATAGGGAGCCATGAGGCGATAGGAAAAAAGGTGTAAGCTATTCTTTTGGCTTTCTCCTTAGAACAACTGGAACAGAAGGTTGCAACATAATACATACAATTTATAATTCTTACTGTGTACATAATCATGTGCTTATGGATTTCCTAAACCTCTAAGCGTGCAACATATTGCCCATTGGCTGAATCTTTTTTCATAGTTTACACTCAACTAGGATCTTTGTCTGAAGATGCACACTGGTATCAATGTTTCAAGATACAGTATATGATTTGCCATATCGATTTCTATATAAGTATACTATAACTGAGAACGCACAGTACAGAAGTACAAAGAACAATGGGAATTCCCAAAGTGCACTAGCTCATTGCAACCACTAGATTTTTGATTGCGGTGGTCAGCAATTTGGAAGAGAAATTCTGGTTGGTTGCTCTTGTACTACATTTTATTCATTGTCTGTGGATTACTGAATCAAAAACATTTTCTACTAATACAATTTGATATTAGTATTTAATTAAATGGAATTGCATTATTTGGTATTGCAATACTTTGCAGCCTTGCTCTTTGCCTTGTAGCATATGTCTGATGCAAAACATAATTTTAATTAAATATTCCAAATTAATTTCACCCCTTCCCATGTGCAATTAGCACATAAACACTGCCCAATCCTGGGGATACATTTTTAAACACCCTTCCTTTTGGCACCACCAACTGCAAAGCAATAAGTTTAATACCTGCAACTGCCAGGTACAGTTACAGTATTAAAATAAATAATAATAAAATAATAATAATACATTTAAAGCATATATAAATACATTATATATACACATATATATAGATATATACGTATATATCATTTTTATAATAAGTATGTGATATAGTGGTAATTTTTTTTTCGGAAAACGAATGTTAACAAGACACATTACAGTAAACAATTGTTCATTTGGTAAATTTTTTAATCTAAACTGATGTGTGGAAGATGAACCTATTAGTGAAATATTAAGTAGACCTGATGACACACGGGAAAATCCTACACAGCACATCTCTTGGGTAGGTAGCATTCAACTTACGGAAGATGAACCTAAAGGAAAACTATAGGAAAGAACTACATACAAACAAGGGCTGATTTATGAAGACACAAGAAAAGGTGTTTACTCCTATCGACTGATTCCTTTTTTTTTTTTTTTTTTTGAAACATATTTGGCATTTTACATTTCTCTTAGAATGTATTTAATGTACGCCAGTCATCATAATTTAACCCATATCAATCGCTCAGCCTCTTTTGCAGGTAATATAAGGAACAATAATATAAGGTCTTTTTACAAAGTTTTACAATAGCAATAGCAAATACATTTCTTGAATACATAAATGTATCATAGTTATATCCCACTTTTACTGTGAAACTATTACTGTAAGTGCAGCAGCAAGAATATACATATTTATATACATTGCATAGATTTATGTGTAGTGAATGCTGATTTACTGGAAAAACAATATGATTATTTTATGTTTGTAACAAGTGACTTCATACATACTAAAGGCTTAATTATTTTTTAAACATTCCATCAAAAATTTAAATAAAGGCATACCCGAAAAAGAGACACAGATGGTCCAGGAATGTTTTATGATATCTGTGAATTTTTTCATTTTCAGTGCGGAAACTGTTTTCTGAATATACAGATCTGGACACCACATACTGGTTACCCACGGGCTCTATCATTGTTCCTGGCTGTTGGTCTTGTACTCTTCAGTACTACACAAATTACCGGTAGGTCCACCAAAAATATCCTAGTTAAAGAATGCATTTTTAGAGATCTGTTATAACAACAGTAATAAACATATTTGTTTGTTGCCCATGACAAAGTTCTTAAGAAAAATTCATAGCAAAGAGGAAGCTGGAGTACAGTATTACCAGACAGAGTCAAAATGAACAGTAGTATAAAGGTAGCCAGACATTAAGGTATCTAATCATTCAACAACATTCAGACCCTCACATAAGCTTTTTTCTGACACGCATCCAGTATTCAGTGTATGTAAAAGGATTTTTACCATAACTGTGTGTGAGACAGTAATAAACAAAGTTATCTTTGTTCAAGTCTACCTTATGAGAGGAGACATACAAAATCTAAAACAAAAAATTATAAGCCAACTGATCTAAATGACACTAATGCTGATGTTGTGAAGCCACTGATGTGCCCTTTTAGCTACATCGTAGTATTGTGCTTTAGTGCCATAAACACTTGCAATGCGTCATAATCACTGCTCGTGTATGGCAGGAATATATCATAATAATGGCTATGATCAAGATATATTGGCAAAAAAAATAATTTATTCTAGAGCTAGATCTTAAAATCAGTATTATGTCTAATCTAGATTTTTCAGCATACAACAGTTAGATAGTATTTGCAGGAGGATTAAGGCATTATCTGCAGGGATCTGTCCACTATGGCACGTAACTAACCTTCTGTTTTGAGAACCCTCCACTCTGCTTTGCAGCAGTTTAGTGGAGGGCTCTTTGGTTCCTTTAAGCCCACCACACCATAACCTGTCTGGTTAGATTTGAATGACCAACTGTTCTTATTGTTATCAAATTTTATTAGAATCTATTTGCTAATAATTTAAAAACATGTTCTACTACATGGTGCATAGCTTAAGCTTGGTTTCTCCTCATAGTCACCAAAGTTTTTTGACGGCAGATAGAATATAGTGTAAGGAACATAAAGCTGCCATCAAGTGTTTAGAGATGTCAACGGTGTAAGGCAGACATATATATAGATATATATATATACATATATATCTATATATATGTCCCAGAGTGTTCATCAAATAATAAGCTTCACTGCAACTATGAAACATGACTATATGAGCAATGAAAAAGCAATGACATTAAAAGCAAAATACACTGTATAATACATAAATCAGATGAACAACAAGAGCAAAAAGTGTTTGTGTTTTTTTTTTGTTTTGCTTTTTTTTTTTACAATCTGGTAAATGCTATTCCTTATCCTTAAACTTGGGAGTTTAAAGGTCTTTAAGGGCTTAAATTATACTGCTAGATAGAAAGATGGGTAGCATATACTATATCTTGGAGTGTTCCTCCACAAAAATACTGAATCTGAACATTAGTTTTGCTAAAATATCTAAAATAAAAATAAGTAATTTACACCACAGACACTAGCATGCACCTGCACAAACACACCTAACTATGCACAACTCAATATCTGCCTGTCTGTCTTAAGCATTCTACAATTTGTGCCACAACGACAGCATGTAACCACCACAAATGGCAAATAGAATCAATAAAAGTGACTGTGTCCCTGTAAATAAATGATGGCCAAAATGTTGTGTTTTGTAGAATAGGTTTTGAAATAAAATCCTCTTACAATATTGTATAGTAATCACTGTAAAGTGACACGAAACGTAGGAATTAAAAATGCATTCAAATACCTTAACTATTAACTAGACATGTAAATAATTTAGTTCCAAATGGATATTCGTTCAAATTTTGTTAAATAAGGGCATGCGGGTGCATCTAAATTTCCAAATTTGAATGCCTCCGAATGCAAACTAATCCGAATGTTCCTGTAAAGAAAATTCGGATCCATCCTAATTTGGTTCAAAACAAAACTTAATTGAACATGTGACTGTTCTCTGGCCAATCAGATTTTGTTTGGCTGTTGGGGGTTGCATTAGTGGCACGGTCATGTGATGGCATGTTGTGGACCTTTCTGAAAGGAATATTCGGACAGATATGAAATCCGAATAATGAACCAAACCGAATTTTGGATCCGAAATTCAAAAAGCAAAGAAATAAAAATATGAATCGATACGTAATTAAACAATTTTTTTGTGGGGTTACATGTCTACTATTAACAAAATGTAGCTTATTTGTGTATGACTCGGCTGTAGATCCTCCGATGCTCTCTGAATTGATGCTGACACAGTCCTTCCTTCTGGAGGGTGGCTACTTTTGTTCACCATGGACCCTGTGTGTGTTGTAAAGTAGCTTCCACTCCAAGCTCACTCCTGTGATTATTATTACATAGTATTTATATAGCACCAACAGTTTGCGCAGCGCTTTACAATATAAGGAAGACATTACAGTTACAATACAATTCAAGACAAGATGGTAAGGAGGTAAGGAGGTGTGATGGACTACGATCTCAAAACAAATGAGTAAACAAAACATGAGATTGTAGTCCATCGCGGGAGTGATCTTGGAGTGATGGCTACTTTACAACTCACACAGGGACCATGGAGAACAAAAGTAGCCACCCTCCAGAAGGAAGGACAGTGTCAGCACCAATTCAGAGATGATTTGAGGCTCTACCTAATTATTAATATTAGTATTATAATACAGGATTTATATAGCACCAACAGTTTGCGCAGCACTTTACAAAATGGAGGTTAGTTACCATACAGTTTCAGTATAATAGGGTTACGAGGGCCCTGCTCATGGGAGCTTACAATCTAGTAGGAGGGGGAAGTTATACAAAAGGCAATAATTGTGTAGATTAAGTTATTGGAGGAAGTAAAAGGACAGTTCCAAATAAAAAACAAATAAGCTACATTTTTTGTTAATAGTTATTGATCAGTGATCATAGCATTAAATAATATTACTTTAAAAATAGTGCAACAATTTAAAACTTCAGAATAATTATGTATGCAAAGCATCAGCACTGTAAAACACTGTATAACCAATAAATAACTTTGTAGTTGCTGCTGGATTTCTGCATTGGATATATAGGTGTATCCTATTTGTTTTCAGACCCTTACCCATGTATTGGATGACCTGGTTTAAATGGAAGGTGGCCTCCAAGTTCCTGTGGTGTCCTAAATCCCTTAATTGAGTACAGTGCAGAGAAATCTTTCACTTTTATTCACTGATGATGCATCCTTTTGAAGACGTATCATCCCCTATGTAATAATTAACAAAGATTAACTTTTACAAGATCCTAAAGATCTTACCTAGCCTTGAACGTTGGCATTGGAATCAATAGAAACAATGGAGATGCTTCCATATAACTGTAACAAATCATGGCCAGTGGATACATTAAAACAACTTTTTCTTCTTCTTTCTTTCTTTTTTTTTTAACATATTTGTATTTGTATTCACACTGCACACACATACATACAGTATATACTGTATGCCCAAAAATGCTTCAGTAAGGATAAGAAGGAAAATAATACAATCTAAGAACAATTTATAAATTAATAGTTCCTACTGATTTTAATCCATGTTCTTTGGATCAAAGCTGCCTGGCTCAAAGGACCATTAACAGATGATGCTTCTCAGATTTCCAGACAGTCACAACAGCTGTGTTCATTGGTTACAGTTTACAAGATGCACACATAGCATTCTGTTATTCTGCAAAGAGATTTGGAAAATATGACCTAAAGCGGTGTCTGAGGACTGATAAGTGAAATCGACAAATCACGAGCTTCAGAATCACCAAGAGATCTACTGCAAGTCTCTATAAAATCACTTATTCAGTAACGGGGCCAGAGAGATGTTGCTCCCTCACTGCAAGCGAGTGTTTGGTGCCAGCAAGGGAGCGATTCCACCAAGGTGAGTAACACCGCAATTCTATCACTGTCACACATAGATGCTTTGTTAAAGAGGCATACATTAATGATTGGTAACCCCTGATCTCAGCGATTAGCAGCATTCCGAAGCCCTGAATAATTGCTCACGTACATCACTAAGGGGCTAATTATCCATATTTGACAATATATTGAATACAGAGTCCAAAACAATTGTGAGATTCAAAAACGACAGTCACATGGCTGAACATATACAGTAGATCCTTATCCTTATGTAAAGCCTTGTGAATTAAGCCTATATGTTTTTTAATCTCAAACGTGCTTAAAATTGCACATGACCCTTTGTTCTAATGCAACTGTGTGTTGTGGTGAGCCAAATGCATTGGGGAGTCATTACAAATTTTACATGTGTTACTGTGCTTTGCGTGAATAGGCCCTCAATTTCCAACAAAATGTGGTGCTTCTATGTCTAAGGGGGCTATTCACAGAGGAACCGAAGGATGCAGCCGTAGCTTCGGCTGATCCTTCGGCTCTCTTTGGCCACCGGAGCCCTACATTTCAGTCGAACCAAAGCGCTGCTGTACGGGCTATTCACTATAGCTCCTACAGCAGCCGAAGTCGGCCAAGCGGCTCAGCCAAGCTGAAGGCATATGCCTTGGCTCGACTGAGCCGAAGTGACACCCAAAGCGCGGCAAAGGGCCTGCCGAAGGCCGGCCTTTCACCCAGCAAATGACAGCTGGGCAGCTGTAATGACAGATCAGTGTCCCCAAGTGACTTCACGGCCGGCTCCGCACAGTTGTTATTCAATGCCGGGACCTGCTAGAAGACTCTGGCAGGTGCCGCCCAATAGGAAACAGTCACTGCTAGCTCCGCCCAATTGTTATTTGCTTTTTAAAAAAATCTTTATTTATTTTTACATTTTTAAATGTATTTACATTTTTAATTATTTCTTAAACATTTTTTTTACTATTTTCATTGATTTGCTATTCTGCTCGATTCCCCGGAGCTCGGCGACATTCGGCTATTCACTCACTGGCATTCGGCCCCTATGAGAATAGGGGCAAATGTCAGCAAGTGAGCTGCTGCAAGTGAGCTGCCGGAGCTTCGGCTTAGCCGATCCAGATGTTGGATCGGCTGAGTTGAAGTCCTTCTGCACTTCGGCTCAGCCGAAGCCAGCTGATGTAC